AAACAAGTTATTTCTTCCCAAAATGTATAAGAGGGTCTGAACAGCTTTACATGGGTATTAAGACAGTTACTCTCGGGTTGCCTGGTTTGCTCAGTCTGTTAAGCACCTGGTTTTGGCTCAGGTCATGATCTAATGGTCTGTGGGTTCAAGCCCCACATCAGGTTCTATGCTAACAGCTCAGACCCTAGAGCCTGCTTTATATTTTGTGTCTCCCTCTCTCTCTGCCCTCCCCCATTGGTGCTCTGTCTCTCTCTCTTTCAAAAATAAACAAACATTTAAAAAACAAAAGACAGCTACAAACTTTCTCAAGAGCTTAAATAAGATTCCTACACATAAATAAGAAAATTGTAGAACACAAATATTTTAAAGTTCCTTTATAAAGAGTAAAGAAATTTAATTATTATGTGACATATCTCCCATAATCCACACCCACAAATAACACAGTTATGGCTTTGAACTCTTATGCTCTATTCCTCCGAAACCAGAAGTTGGTTATAAATAACATATTTCATTACAGTTTTAGCCTTGATGAAACATGTGCCATTTGGATAAATCAGAAGCCCTGAAAAAATTATGATTCTAGGTCACTTTATGATACTTGAAGGAATTCAGAGGTAAATGCTTATGCCATAACAGACTCAGCTGATGCCACCTGAAAATACTAACACATTCTCACATTCCTGGGCTTATAGTGAAGGAGGACTAACTTACCCATATCTACTGTTCTCTAGCTGTGCTTTTTTAAAAGTTGTGGGGTTTTTTAATATTTATTTTCAAGTGAGAGAGAGAGAGAGAGAGTAGGGAAGGGGCAGAAAGAGAGGGAGACACAGAATCCAAAGCAGGCTCCAGGCTCTGAGCTGTCAGCACAGAGCCCGACGTGGGGCTCGAACCCACAAACTGTGAGATCATGATCTGAGCCAAAGTCGGACACTTAACCAACTGAGCCACTCAGGCTCCCCCAAAAATTGTTTTAATGTTGTTTATTTTTGAGAGAGAGAGACAGAGACAGAGCACAAGCAGGGGAGGGGCAGAGGGAGACACAGAATCAGAAGCACGCTCCAGGTTCTGAGCTGTCGGCAAAGAGCCTGATGCAGGGCTTGCGCTCAGACCCATGGGATCATGACTTGAGCCAAAGTTGGATGCTTAACCGACTGAGCCACCCAGGTGCCCCCTCCTACCTGTGTTTTTAATCCAGTATTGACTACCATCCAGCCAATAGTTAAATAATATTTTGGTGACTCTCAAGAAAAAGTAAAATGCTTTAATACAAAGAACTAGTCAACCGTGGGACAAAATAATGCATTTGACTTTGCAAACCATAGTATTTGTGTTAATGAGACTTGTTTATAGTCTAGTACAACTACATTTCTGTCAAGGTTAGCTGGTGATAGAATTTAGACCAACTTTTTAAAAATTTTTAAAAATAAACAGAAGGCTTATTTATCAGGAATTCTTTCCTTCATGAAACAAGTATTACTAAGTGCCTACTGTGCATAGCCATTACTCTATATATGTTGGGTATATTTGGGAATAAAAAATTCCCAGGCTTCACAGAGCTTACATTCTAGGGGGAAGGAACACACAACACTTCTAACAATGGATTCAATAACTTACACTGTATAAAGGATATCTAAGAACCTTTCGTTGTGAAATTAAAGTTTCTTTTTTTTAATATTTTTTTAATGTTTTATTTATTTCTAGGAGAGAGAGAGAGAGAGACAGCGTGAGCAGGGGAGGGTCAGAGACAGAGGGAGTCACAGACTGAAACAGGCTCCAGGCTCTGAGCTGGCAGTCAGCACAGAGCCCGATGAGGGGCTCGAACCCACGAACCGCGAGATCATGACCTAAGCGAAAGTCGGACGCTTAACTGACTAAGCCACCCAGGCGCCCCAAGTTTAAAGTTTTTAATACTGATGACCTAGTCCTTTACGGACTTTATAGACACAATGCCTGTCATTCAACATTAGAATTCCATGGTGAAATTTAAAAGTACCTCTTGCAACTAACAGAAATAAGTTTGGGAATATGAATCACATCTCTTTACAAATAACTATTTTATATTTTCTCTTGAACTAGTGTCCCATGAGGCCTGTCCTGTCACTCAGAGCCTTCAGTGTCCTGTTCTTTGATTCAAATGGAATACATCTCCCTGTCTGAAAGCCATGCACACGGTATCTTGGCCAAGAACTGCACTAAGTGCTAGAGATACAAAGTTGCACTAAGTGCTAGAGATACAAAATAAAGAGTTCATTTTAGAGGAAGAGGAGGAAGAGGTAAAAGGATGATCAAGGCTTATGAGCGTTAACTGAAGTATGCAAAGCATGCTGGGTACACCCAGAAGAGAGGATGATTACCTCTGCCTGGAAAAGCCTGCTGTGGGTAGATGGATAAAGGTGTGAAGGCAGAAAGGCCCAGAGACTCATATGGGCCAGGAAGCACGTAAGCTTGGGAGAGCAGTCAGAGAGGGAGCGATCCTAAGAAGCTAAATCCTGAACAGTGGAGGCCATGTCTGCACAAGACATCATCACTGGGAGTTACACCCCCCATGAGAAGAAATGGAAAGCACAAGCAGAGGTGGCTCATGAGCACACGAGCTACAGCATGGGGCACACTGAGAACAGTGACTGGACTTCAAGGTGCTAGCAAACTAAAGGGAAAGCATCAGGGGGGAAAAAAGGGGGGCAAAGAGATGAAGCATCTCGAAAAAGCAAGGAGACTGACAATGCTAATAACAGAACCCAGACCTAAATCGCACCTGCATTCTCCAGGCAGACCTCTCCACTCTCCACTGGACGTGCTGCCAACTGGTCACCCAAGATGAACAGCAGATCCTTCATTCAAATGCCAGTCCCAATTCAGCAATGTTCCCAAACCAAGCCATAGGGGAAAGTGCCCCTGTACGTGCCTCTTACATATGCTGGGTAAGATAAGCGAGCTTCCCGCCCACCATGCTGAATACCCATGACATGCAAGTCCCAGGATTCATCTGGACTCATTTTTAACCACAGTCACTATCCCACTATCCCCTGGCCCTGGAACATCAATACTGAGAAGATACTGTGCCATGGAATCGCTCTATGCTTTAAATACAGCATACTGCAGCACCACCGTCCATCTCCCCAGTTAGTCCTGGGAACTCCTCAAGGGCGGGGACCAGCTATAGTAGTCACTCAACTAAGGGCTGACACACAAATGAATTAACCCACCAAATTCTTCCCATAGTTCCAAGCTGGAATGACAGAGAGAAAACACACCAATTGCTGCTCTTTTTCATTCTAAGTGATGGGAGCATGAAAGCTAATCAACCAGCTTCTTGTAAGCACATCATCCATGACCCTAAGCACAGACGCACAAAGTCAAATAATAGAATCCGAGGAGAACAATTTTTAAATGTAAGTTTTTACATCAACAGTTTTCCACTCTCAGAAATGTGTTGAGTGAACAAGATTGGGCCAGTTCAGAGACCCGCCTCGCCTCCCCAAACAGGCACATCCCAGCCTTGAAAAGAAGAAACACTGTAAACCAAAGCATTCTGAAAATAAAAAAAAAAAAAAAACAAGAAAGCCTTTCTGCAAAACTTTAAGAACTCATCTTAAGCCCCCGTCTCCTCTAAATGACTATAGAAACATGCAGTGCCCTGGCCAAGTCTGAAATACAACATTAGGAAATGGTAGAGAAAATTTTGTTTAAAAAGAAAAAAAATATCCAACACTGTCTAATCAGAATGTAAATCATCATTTACATCAGACTCTAATGCTCCAGGTGGGTAACTCTTGGGCCTGGGCTCCCGAGGCAGGTTTGTGAGTGGTTATACACAGTTAACCTCACCGAACACCGGCTCTGTACCTCCTTCCTGTGGTCCTTAAAGCGGTTGCCCTCTAGTGCCAAATTACAGGCGTTCTGCTTGGTGAAGAAGAGAGCTAACTTTGCTGATTAACGACAACAACAATATCTGTGTGTGGACTGACAAGTTATTGTGCAAAGGTACTTCAAAAGTCAGCCCTTCTTTCTCCTACGGTAGGAGTGTATATGTGTTTGGGGGGCTGGAGTGGGAGGTCTTTTCTTGTTGAGGAGAGGAAGAAAGTGCAAAAACTAATGTAGCAGAGAACCACTCTTTCTGGAATTCATAGAGTCTGGCCTTTTATCCCCGGGCGCAAGCCCAAGACTAGGGACCCGGGTTTTGTCAGGGGCGCCTCCCTGCTGTCCTGCTCCCAGCTGCACCACATGAACAGAGAGAGACAGGAGGCAGGCCCCTCTGACACCTACTTAACCGAGGCAGATGGAGAGGAGAGTGTGTGGGATGCCTTTACTTCCCCCTTAGGAGGCACCCAGCAGGAGCCCACAGAGCCAGCAGCTCCCAAATAGGATTTCCACACGTCCTCCCCTCCTCAGAACGCACCTTGGCCCTCTGGCAGGAGGAAACAGAGCACTACGCCAAGTGTGGCTCTGGTGTAGGAAGGGGTGTAGGAAGACCTAAAGAAGCCTTCTTCCAGGATTCTATACTTTCCTCAAACCTCTAGAGAAGTAGCCAAGTTGGGGAAACAGTCACTCTCTCACTGACCCCGAGAGGGCAAGGGTGTTACTTTGAGGAGGACGCAATCAGTGTCTGCAAGGCGTCCTGGGCTACAGACACATACTTTATTAATAATCTTACATACACAAAATGTCCAAGGCAAAGCCGAACAGGCTAACTTCTGACAGCTCCAGATAACAGTCAGACGAACCGAAGCCATGCTGACTCCCCAGCTTCCACAGACTCCACAGAAGCGACGATCCCTTTCCCACCCAAGGGACGTGATGCAAATAAATAAATACAATTATCTGCAGAACTTAGAGTGCAAGAACGACGCTGTGAAGTCCTTCTCCCCGAGTGCAGTGACTTGTGGGAAACAGATAGGAAAATAAGAAGAACAGCTGGAAAATTTAATTACCAGAAGGACAACGCGGAGGCTGACGTTGTTTTACAGAAGTGGCCAAGAGCCGAAGCCGCTCTCCCTTACCTTAAGATACAGAAGCAGCTCTTCGCCCCTGAAGATAAGCGGCAGAACCCGAATCTCTGTTTGCTGTCAATGTCAGTGAGCACGAACGTGAAGTTCTGGCCAACTTGGCTAACTGTGAGGCTGCAGCAAAGACAGAACAAAGGGAAACAGGAATATGCAGTGAGTTTCTCGATAAAGTATCTAATCACGACAAGTCGTTGAACCTGTAACATTTCCTTTCTCAGTGGAACTCTTTACAAATGAACTCCAAATTTACACACTTGAAGGGAACAGACTGTGAGCTAGTAAAAAAAAAAAAAAAAAAAGAAGACGACGATGACGACAACGATAGCAAACAGCCCGTTCTAGTGACCACTTCACTACCAAAGTAGCTACCAAAGCTTCCATTTACTGAGTTCAGGCAGGTAGCCCTTGTTAATCATCTCATCAAATCCTGAAAGATGCATCCTATTAACCTCATTTTATAGATAGTGACCGCCTCATCACCTTATTGGAGCTCCCATGCCTTCCACTGATTGAGTTCAGGCAGGTAGCCCTGTTAATCATCTCACCAAATCCTGAAAGGAGCATTCTATTAACCTCATCTTATAGATGAGGCAGTAGCCCAGGGCAGCATTGCCCAAAGTGCCAGCTGGTTAGCTACAAAAGGCTGGGTTTTAAACCGAGGCCTTTGTGATGTCAAAGCCTAGCCTGCCAGCCTGCTGTTAACAACCTTCACCTGACCATTCCTCTAGTTCAGAAACCAATAATGGCAACAGAACGGAAATGTCTGTGAGGTGCCAGTCACCAAGCCGGACACTGGATATATGCCATCTCATTTATTCTCCAAACAATCCTAGAATTTAGATGATGCTTTCCCATTTTACAGGAAAGCAAACTATGGGACAGAATAGACATGCTCACAGAGCCTCCAAGGGGGAGGAGCTGGAATGCAAGAGGGCAAGGTTACTACTGTCCTAAATCCTTGTATCTTTCACAACTTCGGGGTTCGGGAGGAATATATAAGTTACAGGACAGGAATACCAAATGTCTTAGCAATGCAAGGTGCTAAGAAATGAAACAGGCTTTAAAGACATACAGTAAAGAAAAAAGCCAAAAATGCTTGCATCAACACAAAAATCAGCAAGCCACACATAAAAGTCACATAAAATAGGAAATATGTTTCAAAAGATTAAAAAGCACATTACTAATCAGATTAATCTAGAAACATTTCTGGCAGTTGCAAAATGTTTTTAAAATCCCCTTTTTAAAACCAGTTTACCACTTGGCTTGGATTCCTTTTTAAAAACTTAAATATTCCAAATTCTAATACATACATTTAAGCTAACATAATATTTTAGAACTTGACATTGAATTATTCAAAGGGACTCATTAATTTATATTGTATTTTACATATACTGTATTTTGCAAAATACACTCAAATTGATAAATATTCAAATCGATGCTCTCACCTATAATTTACTTTATAACTTGCCAGCAGAAATGAAAAATTCACCAGGCCCCTTCCAAAGGCAGATTTACTGAGTCTTTGGAATAGGATATGAAGCACTTTTTTCAAATATGGATATAGCCTTCCTTTCTAACACTTCCTTATACAAACCACATAAGAAAATTAAAATGAAAGAGACTTTCAAGGTATCACAGTACAAGGCCAATGGGCCCTACCTGGTCATGTTTAAGGAAACAATTCCATCCCCTAGAGAGTGGTTACAGAGTACAAGAAAATAATTCGTAAAGAAAAGAAAGCGTTCCACCCTCCCGTTTTAACTAGGAAGGTGAGTGAAAACAAGGTGGCAATTTAAAAGCAACGGGGTAATAAAACAGGTGTAAGTAATGCTACCCCTCCACCTCACCAAGCAGGAGAAGGAACACATTTCTATAAAAGTTATAGAGCTGTCCAGGGGACACCAAACTCTGCCTTCTTAGGGCTGTTATGTTTTATCAATAAAGCTTGGATACTGTGTTACTATGGTGATTTAATACTATGTTTTAAAGGGGGATTATATGATTAATTTTAACAAGGTTGAGAACTGAAGATGTGTGAGAAACAAGATTCTAGCTCACATAATTAAAGTGATTGGGGAGAAAAGTGGGCCTCACTGGGGGGAGGAGAAAAACTTGAATTATTAAAACATTTAAAGCAACAGGTCACGATGATTTCTAAATTACAAATAAGGTCATGCTTTTGGGACATGCTATTATGCGATCATACAAAATATGGCTGTTCATTATTTTAACTCAGGGTGTCATTTCACTTCTAGAATGTTTAAAACGAAGCCTCAGAGAAGGAAGGGGTATTGATAGGACTGAATGAAAAGCAAGCACCCAGGATCCTTAGGAAAAGGACACAGAATGAACACAACTTGGTTTGTGAAGTGAGTGTCATTAATTTCCCTATTTACCTTTTCACCACCATTAAAAATGCTGAAAATGCTTTTAGCAACATCCTAGGCTCAAAGAAAGATTCATTACTCATTTACTTGGTTCAAATCCCAACTCAATCACTTGTTAACTGGGCCTTCATTTAGCACATTACTTAACCTCTAAGCACCTCAGTTTCTTTACCTGGAATAACAATGAGAGACCACTGCTCAACCCAAAGGAGGTTTGGGGAATAAGTGAGATAAGCATTTACCATAAAGGCCAGTCCATAATCAACACAATTAATGAGAGACGTAAGCTCTCAAGTTATCGTCCAAAGGAAAACAAAAATTCGTATTAAAATTGTGCATTTGCTCAGCATCTTCCTGATGAACTAATTTTTGTAATCCTTATGAGTGGAGAAAAGAAGGCTGCCTTTCTCTCTTCTCTGTTGGATCTTTTCAGTAAAGGACAGTCAGTCTTCTGGGTGACCAAGTGAGCTGATCATGCTTACGGTAAAGTCAAGTCAAGGAGTAAAGGGACACAGCCTAGGAGAGAGCATTTGTTATTGTCAATTGATTCACCTTTTTAAATCCTAATAGGGTAGGGACGCCTGGGTAGTAGCTCATTAGGTTAAGCATTCAGCTTTGGCTCAGGTCATGATCTCCCAGTTCTGGTCTTGAGTTTGAACCCCACATGGCTCTGTGCTCATAGCTCAGCACCTGGAGCCTACTTCGGATTCTGTGTCTCACTCTCTCTCTGACCCTCCCCTGTTCATGCTGTCTCTCTCTCTCCTAGAAATAAATAAAAATATTTTTTAAAAAAGTAAATAAACTTTATGGGGCGGTGGCTCAGTCGGTTGAGCATCCGACTTCAGCTCACATCATGATCTCCTGGTTTCTGAGTTGAGCCCCACATCGGGCTCTGTGCTGACAGCTCAGAGACTGGAGCCTGCTTCGGATTCTGTGTCTCCCCCTCTCTCTACCCCTCCCATGCTCATGTTCTGTCTCTGTCTCTCAATAATAAATAAACATTAAAAAAAACTTTAAGTAAATAAACATTTAAAAAAGTTTAGGGGAGGGGCGCCTGGGTGGCTTAGTCGGTTAAGCGTCCGACTTTCGCTTAGGTCATGATCTCGCGGTTCGTGGGTTCGAGCCCCGCGTCGGGCTCTGTGCTGACTGCCAGCTCGGAGCCTGGAGCCTGTTTCAGTCTATGACTCCCTCTCTCTCTGACCTTCCCCTGCTCATGCTGTCTCTCTCTGTCTCTCCTAGAAATAAATAAAACATTAAAAAATAAAAATTAATAATAAAAAAAAATAATAAAATAAAAAAATAAAAAAGTTTAGGGGAGCCTGGGGTGGCTCAGTCAGTTGAGGTCATGATCTCACAATTTGTGAGTTCAAGCCTCGCGTTGGGCTCTGTGCTGACAGCTCAGAGCCTGGAGCCTGCTTTGGATTCTGTGTCTCCCTCTCTCTCCTGCCCCTCCCCTGCTCGTGGTCTGTCTCTCTAAAAAATAAACATTTTAAAAAAAGTTTAAATCCTAACAGGGTAAAGTACAAGCCATTTAAACAAACAAAGGAGGCCCTAAACCACCAAACTCTCAAATGGTTTCTCCTTGGACAATTTGCAATAAACTAAAAGTCAGGCAAGGGTGGTCAGAAGTTAACTTGAAGTGTTCTCAATCTCTGAGGAATTGGTCATTCCCTCTCTGCTTGCTGCCGTACTCTGGGAGAGTGTTCACTCTTTCTCCATAAAAATGACTTTGGGGAAAGGGTCTGCTTCATTAAGGGCTGCAGGGTTTGTGTTTACCTCCAGTATGAGAATCCAGAACTTTTAAACAGGAATCAGAGATTTCACAATGATTAAAACGGGGAGGGACTACAGAAACCATCTGGCTTAAGCCTCTTGCTTTGTAAGATGGGAAAACTGAGGCACATGGTTGGGTTTTTGTTTGTTTGCTCTTGCTTTTGTTTTTGTTTTTGTTTTGTTTTGTTTTCCCCAAAGTATCAGGACTAAACCAAAATTCCAAGCCCCATTCTGGTTCAAAGCCCTCTCCATTCTGCCAGGCTACACTCAACACAATGAAACCCTTCCCTCACCTCCAGCCTTCAACTCCATTGAAGGAACTCAGGTATGTAAGGAATCCAGATAGCTGTCTTCTCAAACAGACCCACTTCCCACTAAGCAAGAGAAACCAAATTTGAGTATTTCCAGAAATAAGCCCTGGAGACCAGGGCCAACACCACCCTTCCCTGTGCTTCCCAAGCCTAGATGAATATGGAAAACAAGGGAGAAAAGCAACAAATATTCAAACTAGACTTTAACATTCAGGTTGACTTTGAAATGCCCGTAAGCCATTCAAGGCTCCTCCAGCAGCATTTTGCTTAATCGTGAAGTTATTTACAGGTTCAGTATATAAATGACATGAAGCATGTCAACAGACAGGGTGATTTCAATCTTCCCAGGAGAGATGGGATTTTCCATATCATCTCACTTTCCGTTTAGTTGTCCATCTTACATGAGCAACTACTAGCCTACTGTCCTGTAACAAGTGCTCACCATCTGTCCTGCTATGGAGATTTCTGGATTGTTGGGAAGGAATAATAAATAAGTGTACCACAAAGCATACAGCTGGTACCAGTGTTTTATGAAACCAAAGCAAGAACAAAGATGGCAGAAAACGCAAGAAACGGCAAAGCCGTACTCTGATAATGAGGTTAGAGACAGCTTCTCAGAGATGGCAACGATATTGACGCTAAA